TGGAATTCTGAATTTCTGAATTTCTGAATTTCTGAATTTCTGAATTTCTGAATTTCTGAATTTCTGAATTTCTGAATTTCTGAATTTCTGAATTTCTGAATTTCTGAATTTATGAATTTCTGAATTTCTGAATTTCTGAATTTCTGAATTTCTGAATTTCCGATTTTCTGAATATCTGGATTTCTGAATTTCTGAATTTCTGAATTTCCGATTTTCTGAATATCTGGATTTCTGAATTTCTGAATTTCTGAATTTCTGAATTTCTGAATTTCTGAATTTCTGAATTTCTGAATTTCTGAATTTCCGATTTTCTGAATATCTGGATTTCTGAATATCTGGATTTCTGAATTTCTGAATTTCTGAATATCTTAATTTCTGAATTTCTGAATTTCCGATTTTCTGAATATCTGGATTTCTGAATTTCTGAATTTCTGAATTTCTGAATTTATGAATTTCTGAATTTCTGAATTTCTGAATTTCTGAATTTCTGAATTTCTGAATTTCTGAATTTCTGAATTTCTGAATTTCTGAATTTCTGAATTTCTGAAGTTCTGAATTTCTGAATATCTGGATTTCTGAATTTCTGAATTTCTGAATTTCTGAATTTCTGAATTTCTGAATTTCTGAATTTCTGAATTTCTGAATTTCTGAATTTCTGAATTTCTGAATTTCTGAATTTATGAATTTCTGAATTTCTGAATTTCTGAATTTCTGAATTTCTGAATTTCCGATTTTCTGAATATCTGGATTTCTGAATTTCTGAATTTCTGAATTTCCGATTTTCTGAATATCTGAATTTCTGAATTTCTGAATTTCTGAATTTCTGAATTTCTGAATTTCTGAATTTCTGAATTTCTGAATTTCTGAATTTCCGAATTTCTGAATATCTGAATTTCTGAATATCTGGATTTCTGAATTTCTGAATTTCTGAATATCTTAATTTCTGAATTTCTGAATTTCCGATTTTCTGAATATCTGGATTTCTGAATTTCTGAATTTCTGAATTTCTGAATTTATGAATTTCTGAATTTCTGAATTTCTGAATTTCTGAATTTCTGAATTTCTGAATTTCTGAATTTCTGAATTTCTGAATTTCTGAATTTCTGAATTTCTGAATTTCCGATTTTCTGAATATCTGGATTTCTGAATATCTGGATTTCTGAATTTCTGAATTTCTGAATATCTGAATTTCTGAATTTCTGAATTTCTGAATTTCTGAATTTCCGATTTTCTGAATTTCTGAATTTCTGAATTTCTGAATTTCTGAATTTCTGAATTTCTGAATTTCTGAATTTCCGATTTTCTGAATATCTGGATTTCTGAATTTCTGAATTTCTGAATTTCCGATTTTCTGAATATCTGAATTTCTGAATTTCTGAATTTCTGAATTTCTGAATTTCTGAATTTCTGAATTTCTGAATTTCTGAATTTCTGAATTTCTGAATTTCTGAATTTCTGAATTTCTGAATTTCTGAATTTCTGAATTTCTGAATTTCCGATTTTCTGAATATCTGGATTTCTGAATATCTGGATTTCTGAATTTCTGAATTTCTGAATTTCCGATTTTCTGAATATCTGAATTTCTGAATTTCTGAATTTCTGAATTTCTGAATTTCTGAATTTATGAATTTCTGAATTTCTGAATATCTGAATTTATGAATTTATGGATTTCTGAATATCTGAATTTCTGAATTTCTGAATATCTGAATTTATGAATTTATGAATTTCTGAATTTCTGAATTTCTGAATATCTGAATATCTGAATTTCTGAATTTCTGAATTTATGAATTTCTGAATTTCTGAATTTCTGAATTTCTGAATTTCTGAATTTCTGAATTTCTGAATTTCTGAATTTCTGAATTTCTGAATTTCTGAATTTCCGATTTTCTGAATATCTGGATTTCTGAATTTCTGAATTTCTGAATTTCCGATTTTCTGAAAATCTGGATTTCTGAATTTCTGAATATCTGAATTTATGAATATCTGAATTTATGAATTTCTGAATATCTGAATTTCTGAATATCTGGATTTCTGAATTTCTGAATATCTGAATTTATGAATTTCTGAATATCTGAATTTCTGAATTTCTGAATTTCTGAATTTCTGAATTTCTGAATTTCTGAATTTCTGAATTTCTGAATTTCTGAATTTCTGAATTTCTGAATTTCTGAATTTCTGAATTTCTGAATTTCTGAATTTCTGAATTTCTGAATTTCTGAATTTCTGAATTTCTGAATTTCTGAATTTCTGAATTTCTGAATTTCTGAATTTCTGAATTTCTGAATTTCTGAATTTCCGATTTTCTGAATATCTGGATTTCTGAATATCTGGATTTCTGAATTTCTGAATTTCTGAATTTCCGATTTTCTGAATATCTGAATTTCTGAATTTCTGAATTTCTGAATTTCTGAATTTCTGAATTTATGAATTTCTGAATTTCTGAATATCTGAATTTATGAATTTATGGATTTCTGAATATCTGAATTTCTGAATTTCTGAATATCTGAATTTATGAATTTATGAATTTCTGAATTTCTGAATTTCTGAATATCTGAATATCTGAATTTCTGAATTTCTGAATTTATGAATTTCTGAATTTCTGAATTTCTGAATTTCTGAATTTCTGAATTTCTGAAACTAGTGAATATCTGGGATTCTGAATTTTTCAAACTTACCATTTTCCTGATATTTTTCAATTTCAAATGTTGGTCTCAAGCCTACGCATGGCACGATGTGGCGAAGCTGAGCGCGCGAAATTCAAACTTTTCGAATTTCGATTTCTGATTTGCATTCAGCTATGCCAACATCTGCCTAGCTCGGGCGAGTCCATGGGAGAATGGGCATAAAGGCCCGAGAATAGGAATACTAGGAATATAGGAAAGTTAGAATAGTTTTATGAACCTAAAAATTGGAATTTTCGGGTGAAAAATAGGCAAAAATCGCTTGTCTAGCTCAAAAATGGTCATTTTGGTGTGTTGATCGATATTTCGACCCGATTTTGACATTTTGTGTCCGGAAAGGGCCCATCTTAGGGTTAGAATCACTCGAAAATTAGGTTTTTCATGCTAGCATGATCGAAATTCGACGTTTTGAAGATCAAAACGTTCTATTTTCGAGAGAGAATCGTCGAATTTCGACCCCCCGACATGGCGCAAAGTGGTTTTTTGACCGAAAAGGGCCTAGAAAAATCCCGAAATTTGACGTTTTCGGTGTCAGAACAACTGATTTTGATAGAAAACGTCCAATTTTGACCTCTCGAAATGGTGAATTACAGAAAATGCCGCTATTCGGACCTATTTTTCAAGGTTTGGAGCATATTTTGGGGGTTTTAGCTCTCCAAAATTGCCAAAAAGTTTAGGATTTTAGGCACAAAAATTTCGTAATTTTTTGGCGAAAATCGAGCACAAACACACTAAAAGAGCACAAATTTCGGCGGGGGAAGAGCACAATGATGATGACATTGACATTGGAGAAGAGGAAAAGAGCACTGAATGAGCGGCCGCCAGCGCCGCCGATTATGCATACTTTCTGTGTGCTCACCTACTCGGGCGGCCCGAAGGACACGCCCACTTTGACATATAAAGAGGGCGAGAGAGTGTGTGGGAAGTGGAGAGTGTGGCAGAGAAAGTAGAGCACACAAAAGACCGCAAATACCATCTCACGTTCAGGTCGACGTTGATGATGGGAGAAGACACACCCACTCGAGAAGGAGGCAAAGTTTGAGGAAATTTGAGGGAATTCGTGTCAATTTTGGGCCTAGAAATGGCTAAAAATGGTTTTTAACTAGCTTAAAATAACCTGAAATAGCCTTAAATGTCATTGAAATAGTACAAAATGACTTAAATCGTCTTGAAAAAGCGTTAAAATGGCACGTGATGCCTTAAAATGACTGAAAATGACCAATTTCTCACCAATTTTGATCCTCGACACGGTATATCGACCAGTCACACAAAAAATGTAATTTTTGAGCCAAAAAAAGCCATTTGAGGGTGAAAATTACTGGAAAAAACGCTTTTTGGTGTTGAAAACATCTTTTTGAAAATGGGGAAAAAATTTCAAGCCTAAAAATGGGTGGAAGTGACATTAAAATGACCCGTGTAGCTTAAAATAACATTGAAACTGAACAAACCGAATTCAAATATATCTACAGTACTCCCTTACCATCAAAAACATCATCATTCACTTCAAACGTCGCGTCACTATGTGCTGAGCAATCGGATTCTGCGTCGGAGTCACTGAAAATAACTGAGCCGTTTGCGCACTTTTTTCGAAAATGCTAAAAAATAGTAACTTTCGATAGTTTTTATGTTTCATAAGGCCAAATTTTGTGTTTTTCATAATTTTAACACTAGAAACATTTAAAAACATGTCAAAAAAGTAAATAAATTCAAAAAATTCAACCAAAATTGAGCCACTTTCAGTCGAAATTAAAATTTCCAGTTTTTCTTGAAAACCAGAAGTCCTAGCAAAAAGTTGTTAACTAGAAAAATGTAGAACTTAGAATTTGACACAAAATCAACACATTTTTTACAATTGAAAATTAGCGTCTAAATCGAAAAATTCAAATTTCCGGAGTGGTCGATGCACCATGTCGCCTATACCCTTTTGGTTTTTAGGGTATATCTCAAATCACTATCCTGGCAATAACTTAAAAACCATAAAAATGGCTCAAAAACAACTGAAAATGTTGAAAAAACCAAAATTTTAGAGCAAAAAATCGATGAATTTTGAAGGCGATTCACTATGTGGCCCTTAACAGTGAAAACTGAAAATGGTCAACTAGAAAATGTAAAACTTGAAATTTTACATTAGAATCAATTTTTAGAACTCTAATAAATTTTGACCAAAAAGTGTTATGGTAGGTGGAAAATTAAAAATCCCCCCTTTTTGGCGCCAAAAATCTCAGAAAACCTCAATTTTGACTTTTTGAGCTCAGGAATTCCATTTGCATGCTCAGCGAAAAAAGCAAAAAAAGATAAGCCTCTGTGGGAATTGAACCCGGGTCGTGAGATTGGTAGGAAAACACATGTAAAATCCCACTGAGCCATTTGAGCACTTTTCTGGAAAATGCTCGAAAATCTCATTTTTGCAGTTTCTAGCGTCGAAAATTGTGTTTTAAACTGTTTGAACTGTCAAAATCCTGGTTTAAAGTTGGGAAATTACTGAAAAATTGAATTTTTGATCCCCATGATTCCCTGAAATGTGTCTAAAATCGGTCAAAAGTCATTTTAGGGAGAGCCGATGCACCATATCACCTATTCCTTGGGGTTTATCTCAAAAACTAAAGGTCCCAGCAGAAAGTGGTCAACTAGAAAAATGTAGAGCTTTAAATTTTACACAAAACCAACATTTTTTCAAAAATCAAGAAATTGGCGCGAAATTCGAAAAATTCAAAATTTCCCCGGTCGATGCACCATTTCGCCTCTCCTACATGATTTTGGGATGTATCTCAAAAACTAGAGGTCCCAGCGAAAAACTGTCAACTAAAAAAATGTAGAACTTGAGGTTATAGACTGAATTCTATTTTGAAAAATTTAGAAAATTCGGTCCATAATGTTTTTCTAGATGTTTTTCTCCAAAAACCAAACTTATTAGTTTTTCTCAAAAAAATTGAGGAAAAAAAACCTTTTCAGCACCGAGTTTTAGTTTATTGAGCTCAACAAAACCTCAGTAGGGTTTGAACCAAGACCTTGAGATTAGTAGAAAATTGGCGGGAAATCCCACTAAGCCATTTGAACACGTTTTGGGCTTAAAACTCTTAAAATGGCATTTTTTTAGGGTTCCAGTTAGATTTCGAGGCTTCTAATTTTACTTTTTTCAAGTGTTTTTCATGCTGAAAACATCAAAAAAAGACCTAGAAATCGACAATGTTTCATTCGAAAAAAGATAAAATCTAAAGAGAACAAGAAAGGTTGTCTTGGTCTTTTTTTCCGATTTTTTTCTATTTTTTCAAGGCCGAAAGTACATACCTAGTGTCTTTCATTGTCTAATGTGTTATCGTTGTGTAAAAAGTGAAGAAGAAGAAGGAGAAGAAGGTCTTCTTCGTCTTTTTCTTATCAGTAATCACTTCTTTCGCCACTCCCAAATAAAGAAAGAAGAATTTTTGAAAAGGAGAAAAATTTGGGAACATATTCAGAATATTTTGAAATTCTGAAATTCCAAAAACTTGAAAAAAAGAAAAATGTATTCATTTTGGCACCTTATCATATACAAACACACATTGAAAATATGGTAATAATGGAATCTAATTTTCAGAAAATTCAAAAAATTCAAAATTTCTTCAATCCTCTAATAAAATCCGCTGAAACAATATGATCCGATGGAAGATAAGCAAATTGTGGTTGTTTTGTTCCATGGGTGCAATTGAATTCCCATTGACGGTCCACCGATAAATCGATGACACGAACGCCTTCGGTGAAATGGACCTGGAAATTGTTGAAACTTGGAATTTCTGAATTTCAAAATTTACCTCGAATCTCACTGGCGAGAAATCCACGACTACTGTAGGCATGCACACTTCAAATGCTGTGGACCAGTACTTCCTGGCAGCCACTTCCGGACAACATGGGTCCTGAAAATTTCAATTTTTTCTCAATAGCTCAATTTCTCAATATCTCAATGTCTCATTAGCTCAACTTCTCAATGGCTCAATTTCTTGATAACTCGGTTTCTCAAAAGTTCAATTTCTCAATAGCTCAAATTCTCAATAGCCCAGTTTCTTATTATCTTAAATTCTCATTAGCTCAGTTTCTCAATAGCTCAATTTCTTACTAGCTAAATTTCTGATTATCT